TTAGTACATGCGATAAATTGAAAAGTAATGTGTTTTTAAATTTTCGATTTTACACCTTGCAATGCTTTAATTTTAACTATTATTTAAATATTTTATTAAGCATAAGCCAGCTAATATGTTACTAAAAAAAATATGGCTCAGTTACATATGATAAATTAACTAAAATATCTAAATCAAAACCATGTAATACTTTTGTCCTCCCCTGGTAGTTACGTAATAACTTCATGTATCACAGATAGAGTCCCGAACTTTTGAATAAAAATTTTTTAGTATAACAATCACTGATAAGGAAATACCTCATTTTTCATAACCTCCACGTAATATCTTGGGTATATTGAAGATAAGTGTTCAGGTGAATGCCCAAGAAACGTTTATTTATTCTGAATTTTAACCTGAATACTCACGTGATTTTTGATCTTTATGGTTGCATCTATGATGTGAGAAATAAACCTTTGATCATAAGGCATTGATAATCTCCAGAATTTGCATATCGAAAAAATTTCTTACAGAATTTAATCCTCTATATGTTGAGATATAGATGGGCAAACATTTGTAAATATGGGTAATTTATTAGGAAATCTGATAGATAACAATATTAGCGATAAAAACAGAGAATTTTTTAAATAGCCTAGGATCTACGTACTCTTTTAAAAATGTCATGTTAATAACCATTTTTTATTAATTAAAAAATTATAATGGTTAACTACTATGAAGTGAAAATTTAGATAATAAAGCGCATATTTTTTTTTTAAATCTTGTAGCTACTGTTAATTACTTCAAGTACAAATGCAAGATAAATACTTTATTATTCAATGCAAATACGAAACATATATTTTATCAATGAATTACATTTCATTACTGCTAATAAGAAAATTCATTTAAGTAATTTTGTAAATCCATTTTTACAAGTCCATTCAATCTGTAAGTGAATTTTTGAATTCCAACTCCACAAAATTTTCAAGTTCCTGTTGAATAAACACATCCAATAGCATATCTCATCTTGTTATAGGATTCTGGATCTGTATGATCATTATAATATTTTGTTTCAAATACTTGATCGATTGCCCCTTTGATTAAGCTCATGATTACTTGATTACTATTATTTTTATCTTCATATCGCTTGAATTCAAAGTAGTAAATGATATTCCTTGTTTCTATCCACATATCAGTTCAACCTTCACTTGTAGCATCTTCATTTCGAAATGACAGTCCGATATAAAGAATTAGCATATAGATGTGTAAATGGTAATATCCTTCATATTTTTCCGCATGCTGGCTTTCAAAATAGGGAATGGAGGCTAAATCATTATTAAATTCTTTCAAAATACTACTATGTCATCTTTTTTAAGAAGTGTTGCAAGTAATTTAATTCTCTTAAATGTATTTTCTACTGGAATGCAAAAGATGTTGGCCTATAGCTCACCTATCAAAGAATCTCGCATTTCACTGTTCGGAATTTCAAGGATCAGATACTCCGTTTCTTTATTAACTATTTCTACTTATTTGATGGTTAAGTAACCTGTTTGAAAAAATAATGACATGGGTAGTTCAGATGAATTCTGTATATTCACAATACTAACAGGAATGATACAATCTCTATTTATTCGGATTTCATGTTTTGCAATGTCTTTGATATGTTCTAATCTGATCAACTTAGCCAAAAAGCTGGTTCTTTCCTTTTTAATCCAAAAATTCTCTAGTTTATTTCATAAAAAAAAACTACATATACTAAATGGATTATAAACTCTGATATTGCCGTCCCAAGAGTAGCCATTATATTTTTCCTTAAGTTTATTCATCGTTTCTGATACATTCAAATACTCTCCTAAAAATTTACTTTCAAAAGTCATTTTTATCTCATTATTCACAAAGCCATATGCCCTAGATAGCTTGTCACTTAATGTCAAATCCACAAGCTGATTTGCCTTTGAGAATAATTGCATATTTGAAAACATTGTGACGCCAGTCACCAGACAAAATTAAATTTTCTGTTGCGATGATTTGATTATTTCGAAGAAGCCCTTCAATATCTCACGGTTTTCATCTGCAATTTTCAAACTCTCTTTCATTGTGTTAAAGACATTTAGTATTGGAGAATCATACTCATCTATGAGAATTACCACTTTCTCATACATGTTTTCTTCATGACTAGCAAGTGTTATAATTAGTTCTTTAGTGATACCTTTAACACTATCAAGCTTTAGAGTAATACCATATGACTCCCCAATAGATTTTAGCAATTGGATAAGTTCCTTTCTTAGCATTTCTGATCCTTCGTTTGAGGTTAAATCGGAGAAATCAAGTCGGATGACAGGAATTGGAGGCAAGTCTGATTCATTCCACTTCCTTACTGTACTCTTAACATAAATTTCTGGCGGATGTTGATAGATGTATAAATCCTTAAAGAGATCATGCTGGACCAAAAAGAAGGATTCAATCATACTAAAAAACATGAATTTTCCAAATTTTCGAGATCTTGATACGAAGTATTGGCCTCAATTTAGATTAAGCTTAACCAGCCAAGAAGTTTTGTCCACGTATAATAGATGATTCTCGCAAACTAATTTGAATTCCGATTGTGATACAGAAACCTGCTGAACCTCATTACTCGAACCTTAAATAACAGATGTTTCCTTAGGATCTCTATCCCAAAGGCGCCTTTTTTTCTGTTTGTGCTCTTTGTGAAAGAATGGAAAAAAGAAGCTGCTTAATATAAGATCTACAAATTTTTTGTTCGAGAGGTAAACCATTGGGAGACACTTATCAGTGGTGGCAGGCAATTCCACAATAATGTGGATGTACTCACTAAGAGATTATTTTTTGAAAACTTGTCCAATAGTTATGAGGTCGCTGTCCAATTTATCACCTTCAAACTTTTCTTTGATGTTGATTCCTTCATATATCTCACGTTTCTCGCTTTCATGAATATTAACTTGCCATAATTTCAGTTTGTATGCGAGATCAACCAACCCTGCCTGCTCCTTGATGATTCCCTTGAGATGCCCAATGGTCTTGCTTGTATTGTAATCGACAGAAAATGCGCTCTCTTCACCTAAAATGATACAGCTTAACATAATGTTTGTATACCTGCAACGCGAAAATCGAGAGTTAAAACAAAGGCTTAAAACAGATTTTTCAGTAAATACAAATAAAAACCTTGTTGGAGGTCTATCTAGACTATACATGAAGTCGAAATGGATCATTTCGGATATCCGAAATGGTCGAAATGGTCGAAATCATTTTTTT